GGTATTCAGTACACTGGACTTCCTGTTTCTTCTTTTAATTCGCTAACACTACCTGCCCTCCCAGTTGCAAGGCATCATCCCCTGTTCCTCTTCTGTCTGTTCTGACCACGAGACTTGTGTAGTATGGCCTCTGGGGTTCTCATCTCGTTCCTTTTTCTCTCCCTGTCTCAAAAAAGACTATTCCCTCCACCTCTAGTCTATTTCTATTTTTGGGGCCAAGGTCCATGTTTTGGCCCAGCTGTGGGCTCTTTGACCCTACCTCTCTCACTGATGCCTCAAATGGAACATACCCCAAATCTGCTTCTGTGATGATGACCTAGCAAATCATTCAAGCTAACGATTCTGAGAGAAGTCAACCCTCAATTAGAGGAGAAGGGGGTGGAGGCATTATGGATCCCATTGCTAATATGTTTTACATATTAATCACATGTTTTACATAGAGTCCCCCACTTTCAATGGTCTTGGACTCTGACCTTAAAACCTCTCTTCCTGAGAATGTCTGGAAGGTCCATGTCAGATGTTTTCCCCATGATTCTTGCCTGCATACATGGAAGACCTCTTTAATTAACCTGGCCCCCCTGGCTCTTCCTTCAGTCTAGAATCATCCTATAGCTGGTCAATAGATTTTCCTAAAGCACAGCCCAGAACATGTGGTTCTTCACCTTAGAAACCTTCAGTGACTCATTAGTGAAGACTAGATGTCCCAGTACAGTGCTTGGCTGTACAGTCCTGCATCTTTGTCCCAAATGTATTCCCTATGCCATGTAGTGTAGGCTCAGGCCCCCTGCAACCCTCACGAGGGTCCAACCACAACACAGTTCCACCCCTACCTGAGCCTGCCTTGAAACTGCTCATTGTGCCGGAGGGTTCCCTTTTGAATGCTCTGTTTTCTTCAAGTTCCAGTTCAAATTTCCATCTCCTGTGAACCCGTCTTCATTTTCTCCATGTGGAATTAATTACCTATTCCTTTGAACTTCTGTGGTGTGTCTCTCATACCTCTTATCACATCTCGAGTCATTATCATCTGTGTTCCTTACCAGTGTTCACCTTCTAGAGACACAAAAGGTCCTGTACTCAAGTTGGTGATGAAGGAATGACTGGCTAAATGAACAAATGAATCCACTCTTGGGGATTTTACTCCCCCTGAGCTCTCAAGTGCTGGAGGGACCCCTGAAGTAATCGTAGGTGCCGCGATTGCATCGTTCATACCCCCAAGGTTGTTGAAGCCCATTCATGTTGAGACTTCTCTCTTCCCCTCTAAGAAACCTCCTCCTCATTCTCCCTAGTGGGGCCTTTGAGGAATTTTGCTAAGTCTGACATGACAGAGAGGTGGTGACCAGAGCAGTTGAGGTGTTGGTCTTGAGACCACCTGCCTGGGTTTCAGTCCCAGCTCTGCCCCATTTATTGGTGAGTGATGTGCACCATGGGCAAGGTGTATGTTTACTTTGTGCTTCAGTTTTGTTCCTGTTTTTAACTGGAGAGCCTGGTAGTATCTGTCTCATACGATTGTAGTAAGAATTAGAAAGATGATAATCTTTGTAAAGAGCCTGGCACACAGCAGGCATTCAGGAAATGAGTGTGAGCTGCTTGGGTAAGATCCTGGGAGGTTCTCGTTAGCCTCTAGGTCAGGGCTTAAGACCTGGCAGCATCTGGGCTGGTTACTACCCACACAGAAATGTATTGTTTTTGTGGGGTCAGGGAGCATGGGGGTGGCTACGGAAGTTCTGTAAATAACAGGAATTATAGCATGGGAAACTGGAATTGTGAATTCTCTTGAGAAAATTAGATCTGAGGTTGTAAATACAGTGGTTAAGAATATGGGCTTAGAAGCCACGTCTCAATTAAAGCCCCATTCCTGCAGATGGCAAGCTCTGTGACCTCATGCAAGTTACTTAGCGTTTCTGTTTCTCAACTTCTTGATCTCTAAAATGAAGATAATAAGCATTTCATAGCCTGCCTGGGATTATTAAAGGAGACAGATGTACTGCTTTTGTCGTTTTGATGGATCTGACAATCTGTATTTTGAGACTCCCTCCAGCTGATTCTGGTAGCCACTAAAATTTGCAAACTAATATAGCAGATGTGTTCTGTATTCATATTACCTACATTTGGTTTCTATGTAAAATTTCAAATATTGAGATATGTTTCTGGGTACTTCCAATGATTTGTAAATTCTGCACTTTCCTTAGTAGGGCTACTGTCTTCTAAGTATGTTTTTTCTTAAATAATAGATAATACTGGCTTTGGGTTTCTTTGCTCTGGATATTCTGCTAAGATCCGTGTGAACTTTGATCTGTTCACTTGCTGAAGGAATACAGTTTATGTCAGGGTAAGGTTTAAGTATTTTAGAAAGAATACCTTGGAAAGTTATGAAAGGAAAAGCTTTTAAATGGATATGGAATGTAATAAATAATGGGATTAATAAGATTGAATGATTCTTTTAAAATTATGAGATAATGACTTTATCTACCTTTTGGCTTCTATGAGTTGAGAATTCTCACTCCTTCTCTGCCTCATCCTTCCCACTTTACAGTTACTTTCCTTGGTTTCTCAAGAATTCTGCCATGTGTGGGAACTGCACTCCCTTCAACCCTGCTCTTTCTTGAAAGTTATTGGGAAGATCTTATCCTATTTATTTATAAAAGTAATTACATTTTAACTTTTGATGAAAAGCTTTTGTATTCTGAGCTCACCTATTCTATCCAAAGCTACTATTTTCTTTTATTCTTTGTGGTATATCATTTATGGCTATATTGTAGCATCTTGTTTTTTAAAAAATATTTTAGAACTTAGTGTTTGTGATTGCTAGTTTAGGAAGTTCTTCATTTTGTGAATGTGATTTTAAGATATCTCTACCATGCCTCTTCACCAAGTTGTTGATACAATAGATTATTTTATTCTACAGATCAGGCACTCTGCTTTGAGTGGAATATTATAATGGAATGAAGTGTTTGTATTTATGGATGACAGATTTGCTTTTGGAATTTATCTTGAAAGATCTTTCCTAAAAATTGTATACTTTAGGTGTACCCACATTAAGTAGAGATTGAAAATGTCATTAGAGGCAAAATACATAGGTTACCCCACAAAACATACCTCGCTATTTAGCAAAGGTAGCTTAGATGCAGTTATTTACAAGATTATAGTCTACTTGTGACTGTGTAATGTACTTAGTAGAGGTAATACAGATTTGATGACATCCTTAGTAGTAATGATTATTTAATTCCTTTATTTGAGAGAATGATGATCAGGCATCAAGAGTACTTACTTTCTAAAGGTGATTCTTACATGCTACAGTTACACATTTTACTTAACCATTATCAATAGTACATAGCTAAAGGATTTTGTCAATAGCTTTAAAACTTTGCATTTGGCTATTCCATGATCTGCTATTGTCATGATCATTCACTACCGAACCCAGTAGCACCACAATTTTCAGGCCCTACATACATGTTTTGGGAGAGTAACTGGAGAGAGCTTGAGCTTTCATTTCAATAAATTTATATTGTCTTTGGATAATAAAAAGATCAATGAGAATTGGCTTCCCTTTTGCTTCTCTAATACATAAAATAAACCAAATGGGCTTTATTTTATCAAACATTTATTGATTGCACAATGAAACAATCTCTCCTTTCAAAAATATACATCGGTTATTAAAAGAGTAGATACAAAGGTGAAGGAATAATTACAATGCAGTGTGATAAGTTTATTAATATAGGTGTGACAGCATACAGAGGAGGGGGTGATTGGGTTTGAGGTGATGGTGGGATGTTGGCCAGGTAGTATTTTTTGATGGCAACATAGGGTTTCACAGATGGGTAAGAGTCTTCCAGGTGTACCAGAGGGAAATATACATGTGTAGTCCCAGAATGGAGCGTGGCATTTTCTGAAACTTAGAAATGTATACAAGAGTATAAAGTTCAAGAGATGGGTAAGTAGCTAGGAGGTAAGGCCAGAAAGGTAGGCAAGTTCTGGGGTCGTTGAGGCCATGGAAGAAAACGTGGGCTTCACCTTATGATGTTCGTGTTGGAGCTCATGGCACATTTACAGAGCTTAACTACTCCTTCCTGTATTTTTTCTAGAAGATGTAGACTCTTATCCATCATTTCAGAAAGCTGCGTTTTATTTTTTGAATCACAAAAGGATGCAAGAAAAAGTACCAAGGTAAATAAGTACAAACAGGTCACCATCCTTTGAAAAAGCTCCCAATATGGATGTTACTGATTATGGGTCGGCAATTCCATCTTTGTGTGGATCGAGAACAGCAATTCTATTTAAACATCTGTAGACCATGAACTGGAGGGCGTATTGTGGGAGATACCAAGAAAACCTGGCATGTCTGTCTCTCAAGAAGCTTTAACATTTTTAGGGGATACAGTCAAGAATATAGCTAACTAGAAAAGGGGGATCTGCACTGAGAACCCTATGACACACCCAAACAGTAGAAGTAATTATTTTTAACCAGGAGGGTGGGGCAGGGGCATAGGGGTTGTGGCAATGCCAGGAAGGCATTGCTGAGTGGTGGCATGTTTAACCATCATTAGAGTATTTGCTGGACAAAAGGAGAATTCCAAAGAGTAGTTAACACAGCATTCTTACACTTGAATTGTACACTCTTAAGGTGTAAGCAAAGAGGCTTAATAATGGTGCTTGTGCCTCCTATGGTATATTATTGTAATGTGAAAGAGGCTGTTTGTAATTGTAAGGAGAAAATCATTTACCCAGGATTTTGGAGGTCTTGCTGACCCACTTCAGTTCCTCAGACTCTTTAAATCTGCATCCCTTTCAACCCCTGGCTGCAGTTTTCAACAAAGGACTTCAGGAGTTTGGCTTTTTTTTTTTTTTTTTTTTTTCCCAGCACATATCTACATTTACGGGGCACAAAAGCAGTAGTGTTGTGTGAATTGTGGAAAAGAATGTGAGAAGGTGTTTGGAGGGGAGGTTTGTAGGGATGTACATTCTCCTTAATCTTTTCCAAAGTGTTAAAGTGAAATGCTCTTGAAATAATGACCTCTAGTGGCCATTTGTGTCCTGTTGCATTCTCTTAGTAATGGTTCATTCAGCTTATGAATAGATGTATGTGGAGTTAAAATTTATGTAATGTTTTCTGTACACTAGGATAACGTAAGAGAGCATTTATTCCAATCTTTTCTTATTCATTAAATTTGATTTCTACATTATCTACTGAAGTCTCATCAATAAATAGAGGTTAACCTTATGTACAATTGTCAACCTAAGGTTATATTGTCTGTCTGACTGCTATGATTTTCTTGGCTTGATGCTATGGTCTTTCTCCCTCGCATACATGGTAGCTTTTCTGTGAATTTTTTACATAAGAATATGTATATTAAGGGATCCATACAAATGTTAGTTGCTGCCAAAAAGAGAGTTGTTTCTTTAGCAATAAATAGTTGATTTTGCAGTCTACAGTCAGTCTTATTGTTGGTTTGACTATAAGTATATGGAACTCTGGTAAAATGAAATGGAGCAAAACACACAAAGAAGACAGCCACGACAACAAATACTTTGCCTTCCAGCTTTTTGTTGTTTTTTCTGTCCTTACTTTTGGACTTTCTGTAAGAATCGTATACTTTTTTTGCAATAACCACATAAAACACAAGCATTAGGACAAAAACAGTCCAGAAAATAAACTGGGATATGTTATTTACTATTTGATGCCATTTCAGCCCCAGAGGCCCCTTTAAGGAAGCACACTTTTTCACAGACGATGGTGTTGCTTCCTTGTTGCTCAAGATCATATTTGGCAGGGAGATGAAGAAAAAAAAGGACCAGATGAAGACTGAGACCGTTTTTGCAAAAACCGTTTTTTTTAGGAAAATATTTCTCAAAGGTCTGATGATCTTGAGGAATCTGTCAAAGGCTATGAGACCTAACAGCACGATGCCCACATACATGGTCTCATAAAATATCACCGAAGAGAGACGACACACAAAAGCTCTGAGCTGCCAGGGTGCCAGGTGTGAGTCAGAGAGGATTTTGAAAGGAAGCGTGAGTGTCATTATCAAGTCGGCCACCAAAGTGTTTTTGAGGTAGATGATGAAGGTGGAGGAGCTGGGGATGTGAACGAACACCCACAGAGCCAAAGTGTTCAGCAGGATGCCAGTGAAGAAAACCACTGTATAGAGGGCTGGGAATACCAGCTGTACTATCCGAGTGTCTCTGGGGCACCGCTCAGATCTGTTAAAACCTTGCATCACTGTGGTGTTCATTGCTTCCAACGTCACCTGTTACCAATAAACATATATACAAACAAAAGAAGACAAAAATCCCTTCATGATTTTCAAATGCTATTTTTTAAAAACAGACTTTAGGTTTATAGCATATTAACATCCTGCATTTATCCAACACTTTCAATAGATGTATTGAGAAGGAAAATACTGTTTTCTGGCTAGAATTTTTAAAGCATAGAATACATTTTTGGTACTTTTAACAGTATCATTACTTTCACATCCTTGTGAAATCCAAATAACAGGTTCTACCTCATTCACAGGTACTACTGTTAGCCATAAAACAAAACACTGTTTAAGAGATAATAGTACATCATTAATTATTACTAATACATCAGATTGCTGTAAATTATGTAATTTCTTATGCTCATAAACTATGGTTTGTAGAATATTAACTTTAAAGCACTTTTTTCCCTTAAGCATATTCTGCCTTTTATATAAGCAAGCACATTCATAATAAAAATTGAAATTCACCTTTGGGAGGATACTCAGTTCTCTGTGTCTTCTTCTTGCGGCAGTCATTAGTTCAGCTTACAAAAGAGCATGTGAAGCAAATGTTCTGCTTTCTTATAGTGGATTTCCTTCCTTATTTTTACTTATGTAATGTGACCCATGAGAACCTCTTCATATTCAGACCTTTGGGCCATTTGCTAATACTCTCTTTTAGTTCAAATTTTCATACTGTTAATCTGTGACTTGAATAAAGAAGCTTATTTGCAATTATCTTTAAATTTCCTCATCATAACTTTCTTGAAGTTTATCTTCTTGATCTGCATGTTCAGTGAACTTTTTGAGTGCCTCTTGTATATAGTGGGAAGTAGAAACATGAAGAAAACAGTCCCAAATTACAATCAAGTAGGAGAATAAGACCACCTAAAATTGGACAGAATAATCTTCTGTATCCTTGTAAACTGGATTTTCAAGTAGTTTGTGTTCAGGAGGACAGTACATTTATTTTTGTAGATATTTGTCTTAATCTTCTGGTTTTGAGATCTCTGAGAGTTAACATGACGTTTTCTAAGAGGTGAAGACTATTAGAGCCAGATTTTTGAAGTTAGAATCCCAGTTCACCAGTTAACTGTGATTAGATTATAGACAAATGATTCAACAGCTCTGAGTCTCAATTTCCTCATCTGTGTAATGGGTTTGAAAATAGCATCTACCTCACTGTGTTATTAAGAATGAATTGATTGCTTGGAATAGTGCTTGACATGTAGGAGGCACTTTTAGTGACTTTTAGTCCCATTGCCATGGGAGTGAATTGCAAACCCGGTTAGAGATATTATACTCTTTCACTTAGTAGAGGGCCATTTTTGGAAATCTTTTCTGTACTTTGTATATTATGAGTGCAGAGGGCTTCAGGAATTTCATCAATCAACATTGGGCCAACATCTGTCCATTTTTTCCTTTAACTCTCTTCAAGTTTGGAAAGATGTATTGGTGCTTTTGCATAGAGAAAGTTGTCCTTGACCGAAATCTACTTGCCAGGTAGGCATAGGAAAAGCAGAAATTAGGAGATCTTATGGAGGATGTGGAGTTCTCCGTGGTGAGTTTCATTTCATGTTTCTTGCCACAAGTGTTACGATGGAGTTAGACGAGACTGTAGTGTTGGTTGATCACAAAGTTTTGGGTGGCTTGGCTTTGGATTCTGAGAATAAAAACTTAATATACCCCTGGACATTTTAAAATATGGGCAATACAATGTCCAATAGTTTTGATTAGACTGCCCAATAATGGCACAGTTTGAAAAATTTCTCTTTGACTGAAATAAATTAATCCATGGGAGTATAGATTCAAGATTTCACTAATGTAACGGAACATACATGTATGTCTTAAACATAAATGTATATCTTTTTGTTTGCTTCAGTAGAGGTAAAAAAAAAATCCTTTATTTCTTAAGTAGAGAAATTTAACCTGCAAAATTAATTGTAAATTTTCCTGTAGCCCCAGATCCGTAATCTAAAGGAAGATCTGGAATCGTTTTTCTGTAAACAAGAGAAATTCTCTGCAGGATAATTTCATAATCTGAACACTGGAAATCACTTCTTGGTCAAATTTCAAAACGCTGAAGTGTGGGAAACTTTGCAAAGAGGAACTGACTTATGGTGCCTGTTTCTAGAGTTATGGAAATAGATTATCTTAAATGTGCTAGATGTCAAAGTGTTTGACCACAGTAAATATCCAATAGATCATTCGTTTCTATATGTTTGTGCTTCTTATGTATTAGCTGATTTTTCCTTAGTTTGCAGGAGTACCGTTGCCTGCTGGGGAGACCTTTTGCCCTTGAGGGCACAGCTGAGAACTGCTCAGCAGAATGGCTAGACGCCAGAGTGCCTGGGCTCAATTCTTTTTTCCAGTTCTTTCTTTTCTTGTGACCTTAGGTAAGCTGCTTATGCTCACTGTGAAATGGTTGCCTTATCTTTACAATAAAATAAGTAATAATATTTGCTTTACACTGTTGTTAAAAGAATAAAATCAGTGAACATTCACTAGTGATTAGAATAATGTCTGTCATGTGGTAGGTATCATGTAAGTTTCTTGTTAAATGAAATTGAAAGACAATTGGAATGTTGTGCATATGTATGGTGATGTCTCACGAAATGAGAGAAGGATCAAAGAAGATAGAGTGAAAGATCCCAGAAGCTAGAAGACTATCAAATGGGTATAAACTAAACATTTAAGATCCTATAGGGCTCTAAGGATATGTAGTTAAAAATCAGTAAAGTCTCACTAGCTATACTGTTTTAAGTGATTATATTATCTTATTTAATCCTTAACAATCCCCAGAGATTGGTCCCATTTTTAGAGAAGAGAAAAAAGGAATGCAGAAGTTAAGCCGTTTTCCCCGAATCATGCAACCCAAACCTGCTGTAAAGTCACATGGTGGGTCTGATTCCAGAGCCCATGCTTGGAACCTGCCTCACTCCCTGCCTCCGAGTAAGCCATAGATAGGGTGACAATGGAATTGTTTGCCAGATTCTGGAGTTCTTGAGCTGGAAGTTCCTGATGTGTGAGAAGGAAACAATCAGCCACAAAGTTTAATGGACTTGTGAAACTTTCTGCCAACGTAAATTGAGTGAAAGCAGTGTGATCAGAAGGGATACAAAGAAGATAAAATGAAAAGTCCAGAAATCAGTCTTTAGCCAGATAGGAATAAACTACTATTTCCATTTGTAGTCTCATTTGGGATTTCTCAGTGGGATCAAAATAGACAGTCCAAGGCCCATTACCATATAAATAATATGTGAAAAGATGAGGAAGTATTTGCTTTCATTTGGGATGAAAATTGAAGTAGGAACTCCTATACTTCTATACTCTTAGAAAAGACTTTTACTTCCCATCAAAGTATCCCACAGTACTTTGTCAGATTATGTGAAATTGTTTTAAAAATTCCATACAAGACTAACTAAAAGTGGTAAACTAAAAGTGGTAATAATAAGCTGAAATAAGTTACACTTTTTATTAATGTAGCAATCTATTTTTCTGAATAAGAACAATAGTAGAAAATATCTACATGTAACTAGAGATAGACAATAAATTCACTGCTATTTGAAACATTTAATATTTCACATTTTTATTATAAAAGGAAATTATATGTTTAAAAATTGAAATACAAACATATGTAATAGAAAGTGAAAATTAGTACCCCTTACATATACATGCCATTATACTTGTACAAATATATTTACATTTATTTACATATTGGATTTTTCTTTCATTCCGTGTTAGTACATGTAGACTGACCTGATTTTTTTTTAACTTAGGCTCAGGGGTACACGTGCAGGTTTGTTACATAGGTAAATGTGTTTTGTGGGGGTTTGGTGTACAGATTATTTTGTCACCCAGGTAATAAGCATAGTACCGGCTAGGTAATTTTTCAGTCCTTACCCTCCTCCCACCACCCTCAATGTAGGTCCTGGTGTTTGTTGTTTCCTTCTTTGTGTCCATATAAATTCAGTGTTTAGCTCCCACTTATAAGTGACAACATGTGGTATTTGGTTTCCTGTTCCTATGTTAGTTTGCTTAGAATAATGGCCTCCAGCTTCATCCATGTTGTTGCAAAGGACATGATCTCTTTCTTTTGTATGGCTGCATAGTATTCCATGGTGTATATGTACCGCATTTTCTTTATCCAGTCTACCAATGATGAGAATTTAGGTTGATTCCATGTCTTTGCTTTTGTGAATAGTGCTGTGTTGAACATACACTTGCATGTGTCTGTATGATAGAATGATGCCTATTCCTTTATGTATATACCCAATCATGGGATTGCTGGGTCAAATGGTAATTCTGTTTTAAGTCCTTTGAGAAAAGCCAAACTGCTTTCCACAGTGGCTGAACTAATTTACTTTCCCACCAGTAGTATATAAGCGTTCCCTTCTCTCCACAACCTCACTAGTATCTGTTATTTTTTGACTTTTAAATAATAGCCATTCTAACTGGTGTGAGATGGTGTCTCATTGTGGTTTTGTTCTGCATATCTCTAATGACATGCCAATCAAATTTAAAGTCAGTTATGCTACATACATTTAACATAGTTAAGCTGCAACTGATGGGCATGTAGTTTGTTACAATAATAGTTTTTCTCTATTAAAAACAATGCTATAGAGCGTGTATGTGTCCATATATTTTTGAGCATTTTTTCTAACATATTTGTAGGAAGTTTCCTAGAAGAAGGATTATTGACTCAGTCCTTCTAGGAAAAAGTTATTTGTCAAAGTATTAAATGATATTTTCAAATAGTTTTCCAGAAAGATTGTACCAATTTATAGTTCCATTAGGAGTGGGATTCTTTGCCGGGCATGGTGGCTCACGCCTGTAATCCTAGCACCTGTCTCTTATACACATCTAGATGTGTATAAGAGACAGGCTGAGAACTGCTCAGCAGAATGGCTAGACGCCAGAGTGCCTGGGCTCAATTCTTTTTTCCAGTTCTTTCTTTTCTTGTGACCTTAGGTAAGCTGCTTATGCTCACTGTGAAATGGTTGCCTTATCTTTACAATAAAATAAGTAATAATATTTGCTTTACACTGTTGTTAAAAGAATAAAATCAGTGAACATTCACTAGTGATTAGAATAATGTCTGTCATGTGGTAGGTATCATGTAAGTTTCTTGTTAAATGAAATTGAAAGACAATTGGAATGTTGTGCATATGTATGGTGATGTCTCACGAAATGAGAGAAGGATCAAAGAAGATAGAGTGAAAGATCCCAGAAGCTAGAAGACTATCAAATGGGTATAAACTAAACATTTAAGATCCTATAGGGCTCTAAGGATATGTAGTTAAAAATCAGTAAAGTCTCACTAGCTATACTGTTTTAAGTGATTATATTATCTTATTTAATCCTTAACAATCCCCAGAGATTGGTCCCATTTTTAGAGAAGAGAAAAAAGGAATGCAGAAGTTAAGCCGTTTTCCCCGAATCATGCAACCCAAACCTGCTGTAAAGTCACATGGTGGGTCTGATTCCAGAGCCCATGCTTGGAACCTGCCTCACTCCCTGCCTCCGAGTAAGCCATAGATAGGGTGACAATGGAATTG